CAGCGCGCCGCACTACGAGCCCGGCGATCCGAGTTCCGTTCCCGCTCACGACCAACGTCAGTGACGAATATCTGAACCGGTCCTGGGCAACCCACAGTCGACTCAGCCTCAAATGAGAAACCGGTGTGATGTGTAAAAATCGCCGCAAGGGAGACAAAGGCGGCCAGGCGTGGTACTGGTCACCTGCCCCCGTAGGTGATACTCGCTAACAGCACTTGCCCCAACCGTCTGTTAAGGCTGTATGGGGGATCTTTCTCTTTGTATTCCTCTATGAGTCTGTGAGTCCCTATGGAAAGTGACATTTATTAATCCCAAATGTACTTTACTCTGAAAGCATGCTTTACTGCAAGATTTCGCCGCGGGATTCCTTCTGCACGCCACGATAGGTGTATTTTCATTGCACGCTTATGCAATATTGAATCCTGTACAGTAGTTATCACACGTGAACATTACCATGGAAACTTGTTATACCGTACATGTAGTGCTGTAGTTGGTAAAAAAAAAGTCGAAATTCCATGAAGAGGAAAGGACCTGTGCAACGTTTATAATATCACGATGCTGATATGCAAAATAAAATGTTATCTTTGAGGTTGCAGTCCGGTTCCTATATATTTGACCTTTTGCAGCCTGTATACATATCATCTGAATAAATGAAGTTCATGAACCAGTGCCATTATGGCTGTTGTACATATGAACCTTATGGCAGAACCCCGGGGTCCAGAATAAACGGAAGTCTAAATCGTAATAAGTAAATTTTTGGCCACTCCGTCCCACCGCGCACATAAACGCCGTGACCGCGGGATCGTTCTGCTGTCGTGTCGTGTCCAAGCGTAGCAGCGAGGACGAATGTGCACACAAGAGCTGAACAAGCGAATTGCACTCTATGCTCGGGTATGGGCAGCATCATAATAAGTCTTATCCAGAGCTGCTCAAACTGCCGACAGCAGCGGTCCTCCAAACTTTTTGGCACCACGGACCGGTGTAGTGAAGTTTTTCATGGACCGGGGCAGCGGCGGGGGGGGGGGTCATCATTGGGTCTTTCCCCTTTTTCAAAGAAGCTCTCCAGCGACGCTTTGTTTTGTTACTCATTGTGGCTACTAGGGGGTTAGAGCTTGTGGGCTTACCAACACCACGTGACTGAGACGAGTGCGTAGTGCGGGAAAGAGGCGCGGACGGAAGTGGTGAATAATAAAATAATGTGGATGGGCCACGTGCGGACTCACCGCTCTCACCTCCTGCTGCTGTGCGGCCCGGTTCCTAACAAGTCACGGACCGGTACGGACCGGTACCGGGCCGTGACCCGGGGATTGGGGACCCTTGGCCTACAGGACTTAAGTCCTTTATTTGTCATAACGGTATGCATGATACAGTGAAACTGCTCTCTTACCTTCATGATTATTTGTGACCTACCAATGTCTGCAGCCAGGAATTCGATGACAATCCTATTACCTGCAGATATTTATCAGATGAGATGCGTTGCACCGTTAATTCCTTCTGTTTGATAATTATAATACTTCTCTCGTCTGTATGCATCTTTGCAGAAAGGGTTTTTTTTTGCGGTTGAGCCATAGTCCCCACATACCGCTCGTATCAATGCGGATAAGAGGAGCGGTGACCCACTACTCTGTAGAGTAACATTGGTATAAACGCTTGTTACAATATGAACAGCGCATTGAAAACGCGTACTATTTTATTTACTGTTTACAAAGTGTGGTCACAAATCCACACTGAGAAACACGATGATTTACAGAGGGGTGTTAAGATTTTTTTCGATAGTGTATTTAAATAGAGGTACTGCAGGTAAGTAGTTTTCAGTTTTAAAGTTATAGTTTAACAAGACAACACTTGCCACCATCCTTCAAACCCATTGGTGAAAAAGAGCAACGTTTTTGTTTACATTATAATATGATGTTTACATTATATATAATATGTTTACATTATATTATGTTTACATTATAATATAATGTGAGAGCCGGGGGCTTATGGGACCCCGGAGTCTCGCCATAAGGGTAATATATGGGCAGTGGTATGGCCAGCATACAACGCTCAACTGTGCATCAACGTATTTATTGTTGGCAAAGTGGTTTTCATAGTGTGATATCATAATATGGCATGGCACAGCATGGTAATGTGCAGTTACTGCAGAGTGCAATGTGATACTACATACGCATGGTAGTAATGACTCAATACAGCTTGGGATATTTTTTTGTATTATTATATACATTGTGAAATACATTTATTTTTATTCATTGTTTCCACAGTGTTTCGTACACGTATCCTGGCCTGCTTAAAAAAAAAATTCCGTTCACTTAACTTTTTTGAATAAACTATCAAAATGGATGGAAGTGGCCAAATATAGCACTCTCACCCCCGCCCCTGGGCTGTACCCACACGTGTGCAGGTACCCGAACTCGCTGGGTATGAATTGTGATTTTTTTGTTGTTGAAAATAGTGGAGGCGCGTGTCCGTGTGAGTGGGCGCGTGCACACGCAGAGATGAAGAGATCCTGCAGTTCAGTGTCCCCCCGTTATTCGCCGAGGAGTCCGTCAAAGATATGCTCTCGATTAGAAAATTTAGCGGATAACAATACAAGGCCGCCGAAGAACCTATTTTCTTTACAAAAAAAAAATGTGTTACCCTAAATAAATACGTAAATACGCAAGTACGTGGAAATTATCTCATCACTGTATCTCTCATCACTCTTGTCATTTTATCGAATCATTTTCTTGCGTCACGTTCTCTCTCATAACTTTATCTCTCACTTCATCTCATCACTTTATCTCATTACATTCATTCTGGCATCACATTTTTACACGCTTTCTTTTAACTCACTCCGTCTGTTGTTGTTGTTGTATCCTCAAATCTTGTAACACAATTTTAACCCACTTCCCAATGTGGTAATCGACTACTTGGTATACTTATGTCATACTGATGACAATACTATATTCTATCATAAAAATAATGTTTTTTAAACGTTATTTTTTAAACATTATTTTTTATATGTTATGTTTCGGCTTGGGAGTAATAATTGTCCACGCTCAACTGACGTTGGCTGTACATCACCACGATCCCCTTACGCTGTGGCCAAGCTTCGGGGCCACTTCCTAGAGTCGTGGAGTTCTGCCATTACTACTAGTACATTTCATAAAAGCGTGTTTTTTTTTAAAGTATTTTTTTAAATATTACTTATTTCGCTCTCGATGCAGTCGTGTAGAGTTCCAGATGCGATAGGCAACAGAGCGGATATCAAGTTCGCGAATAACGAGAGAATACTGTACACACTCAGTGCACGTGTTACCAGAACCTGACAATAATTGATAAAGCTTTATTTAATTCTTCCATGGCTAAAGATTATTAAGCTATTACATTTGTTGTTCCATTTAATTCAGATCAGGACCCATGGTGTAAAGTGAAGTCGAACCCACATTCAAACCATCTGTCTGGCCTCTTTCCGTCAACTTTGCTTACAGATTTCTTTCTTTTAAGGCAGTGGTGTTATTGACGAATGTTTTTAGAGTGTTTTAGTTACGCATGCTTTAGCACCACCGCCAACGCGGTATCACTAAAGTTCTGATAATATAGTAGCATTATAATGATTAAATACACTATGAGTGAGATGCACGTGCTGGGAAATGCTTATTTTCGTCGGTTTTTTGGGTAAAATCTTTCCAATGACAATGGGACAACTTTCCAGGGGTTAAGTGTTTCTGTATTTGTTTTCGACATCTGGCCATGTGTGTTAAGCTCGAGGTGAAATGATGAATTTTCCCTCGTGCATTGTTATACAGTACATGGATTAGTTCAACCACAGTTGTTTTGAAAGCCAATTTGTTTTCAGTAACCATAGTAGTTATACAACTTAGCTTTCTTTACAGCTGCTATTTGTTTACTTGTCAGATAATGATCATCAATTGTAAAACACTTAATGTATATATGGTAATGATTGAGAAAGTTGTATCGTTCTGCTTCATATTTGCATAACATTTAAACGCCTTACATTTTAGCCCACATGCAATTAGTATTAATTTAGCATTGTGGTTTACCTTTGCAAGAGTAAATCAAATACATCTATTGTAAAAGATGCTATGCATGTAATTGCTGAAGAGACTGATACGCTTGTATAAAACGGAAATACAGATTGTGCAATTCATTTCTCATGGCTGACTTGTTAAACAAACATGTTTTTTTACGTGATTTTAGGTGATCACAGTTATGTCTACTAATTCATAAATGTGCCCCCTTGATAAATGAACAACAAGACCTTTGATGACAGTCATAATAATCGATGCAAACGAACTCTAGGAAAATATGAACTTAATAGAGTCATGGCCGTTGGAAATGTTGCTCAAGATATATTTTATCTAAACCAAAGTTTGCTAAACTATTGAAGATTAGTTCAACACGTAGGCTTTTGCGGCCAATATCAGGCTATTGGCCTGATGAGGTTGGTTGTAAATGTTTTTGTGGGTTTACTCTCCAACACATCCTGAATATTTGAACATCATTATTATTTACGTTTCATTTTTGCCATTGTTTGTGTTATACAAGTTATGTAATAGATAAGCTGACAGTTATGTTATTGTGGTATCCCATTTGGCCAATAATTGTTTCATATTTTTTACTCGTGAAACTTGGATCCTAGGCTTAAACAGAGGGTGACTGCCAAAACAACAACCTACTTTATACTTTTGTTTTAACGCATTGGTAGACACAATGGTGGTGAGATATGTTTGGTCTCTGCGTGTACTGCCAAGTGTCAACACGGATCCCGTACATTTGATTTCCCATTAATCCCCCTGCAGTGCTTACCCACTAAATCTAAGTGTAAAGAAATCAACATCGCTTCCACCGATACAATTGTGGGAGCTGATACACTCAAAGGTGGGTAGACGGAAGTGAAAACATAAAAAAAAGGTCGAGGAGAGGAGCTGCTGCCCCTTCACCCTGCTCCGACTCACACGTGCGCCTGTTCTTCTCACCGGCACGTGTGCGACGTTTAGCCCTAAGATGGAGGGCGGCCCGGCGGTCAAGACCAACCCGTCCAAGCGGCATCGGGACCGCCTCAACTCGGAGATGGAACGGCTGGCTGGCATGCTGCCTTTCCCCCAGGACGTCGTGGCCAAACTGGACAAGCTGTCCATCCTGCGACTGAGCGTCAGTTATCTACGGGCCAAGACCTACTTCAACGGTGAGTGACGCCACGGCCTGACATGGCCCGGTCGCTCGTAGCTCGAACACGCTCAGTTGCTCCCGGGAGGTCCGCGCGATGCCGGGATGGAAGGTGGGGAATTATAGGAGCTACCATTTGTTGCCAGGTTGCTTTGAAAAACTATATATATTATAGAGCTCAGTCAGCCTTACCTGGTAAAATTAAAAGTTTTTTTTTTATATTTTAGTTTGCAAGGTTTCTGTGTTTACCCAATTTCAATATGGCTCTGTTATCATGCCAATACCGAACAGCCAATTGCAAGCAATTTAGGTGAATTATTGCAATTACTGTTTGGAAATCAAGACTCAATTCTGTCAGTCTTGTGTTTAATGCCTCGTTTGTATTGTTTTTCTTTTTATCTGTTTTGTTTGACCAGTTTTGTTTGCTCCATAGACTAAATATGTCCGCGTATCATTAGCAAACATTGTGAATACTCAATGCATTGAATACATTTTAATTCGGTAATCAGATTAATCGTTACCTGCCTATTGTGCGGATTGACCCATGTAACACTTGGGTCTGTCCTGACATCGTTATGCCATTAATAGTCCATGGTCTGTCAGTTCGCCTGGGCTGTGTCAAGGATCACCGTGATGTCACTACGATTTATGGTGAATGGTGGCCTTTGTTGTTGTTGTGCACAGGGTTACCAAACTGCGCCGTTTAGTCGTGCATAGCAGTGGGCTCTTCCAGGATAATTTGATATCTAATGTGGTGTGTTAATATCAGCACGTGGGAGACAAATACATCTGGATAGAGTGCTATACCGACCTCCCCCGCTTATGCTGTGCTAGTTTATACAGTGATTCCCTGACAGTACTTGTCACAGGAATAAATGACTATTGTGCAGTATATGCCAGCACTACAGTGTATGTAGATCAGAAGGGAAATTTAACGTCGTTTTCTTGTGTGTGTGGGTGTTGGTATTGTGGTTATGGGGAGAGGTAGTGTCGCGGTTAACACGCTGGACTATGAACCTGGCGACCTGAGTTTCATTCCCGCTCTCGAGTAATAACAATGGCAAATATTTGAACCGGTCCTGGGCCTCCCCTAGGCCGACTCAGCCCCCAGTTAGTACCTGGTGCGATGTGTAAACATAGGGATACAAAGGCGGCCGGGTGTGTTGCTGGCCACTCACCCCCACGTGTGCCGTGCCCACCTTCGTAGGTGCTTGCTAACAGGATGTGCTCCGACAGCCTGTTAAGGCTATATGGGGCATCATTGTTTTGTGTATGGTGATTAGCACATTGCGCTACGAATCCAACAACAGGCAATTGACGATTGGCCCCCCGGTGTAACTCATGCATTTTCACTATTCGGAGTAGTCATGATTTGATTCAATAATGAAGTTTATATTTTACATTGTGGTGAATATAGCACATCTAGTGGCTGCAAGGGTCATGTGAACCAATTACATACAACGTATACAACCAAACATAATCGATTTCCAAGTGCATGATTCGATGCATTAATTTTGTTTATATGAATCGTCTTGAAATAAATTAATTAATTGATGCAACGATATATACCTATTTCGCAACGTTAGTTTGAGTGGGGTTAGAACCTGCCCTGGTGCCTCCCGTAGGTCAACATCGCCCTCTATGAACAATTGGCCAGGTGAGTAAACATTAGCACTGGGCAGAGAAGAGTTAGACCGCTTTGGTACTGGCCACACCATCTCTTTATGCATCACGCAGTCCTTAAAAGGTCCTTAATGGATTGATGGCACTTGTCCCCAATCGTCTAATAGGCTATTTGGGGGATTTTTTTGTAATGCTTTGTTTACGTGTGCGCTACATGGGGGGGGGGACGTGTCACCGTGCAAGTGTTTTTATTCTGGCCCACCGTTGAACGTTGTTGCCGACTCGGGCTATCATCTCTCTGCATCACAGTTAATGTCAGAAGACCAGAATTGACTCGAGTAAATAAAAATGACTCCTTGCACGCATACAACCACCCACAGTTACGGGAAGGAGGTGCATTGTCCGCTTATTCATTTTCTACATGGTGCGGTGTGATTGATCATTGATGTATGTGACGGAAGCATTGATTGACTCGCGGGAATAAATATATTGTGAGTTTTTTTTATATAACACTTTGGATACGATGATTTCTTTACACAAAGTTTCAAACCATCCAAAGCTTCCTTTGAATCAGTAGTCAGTCATGCACAATACCAGGCACTGTGTATGCACTGTCCATTATCGCTGATGTTTCTTTAATCTCTTCACACTCACTCATCCACGTGTTTACTTGGTCCCAGACATCTGTGGATTAACAAGCAGTTACTGTATAGATAATGTAATGTGTGTGTGTGTATAATGTAGTACTGATCTGTTTGATTAGTGAATGCTCATTTTGCACGCCAGGAGCAATGTTGCTATCGATGCATAATTGGCGTGTGCACAGACGTAATGTGAGCAAATGTGTTTTATGGTGCATAAAAATGCCAGTCTTGGGAAAACAACCCCAGAATAGGAAAGCAAGTGAAGATATATCGTGTCACCTTTCAACAGTTGCGACTTTTGAATCTGTTTTGATTGGCCAAGTCTTGCTCGCACACACAGAGGGAGAGTGCTCAACAACACATCTGTTTGCCTTTACCTCCCAGTTCAAGAAAATACCAATCTCGTTACTCACTGGGTGCCCAGTCACCCCTATAGGAGGCCCGCCATGGGTATTGTCCAACTGGAGGCAAATAGCACTCGGTTTGATGGTGAAGCAGTGTCAAAACCCAACTCTCAAGACCGTTGCAGCAAGCTCCAGACCACTGTGCATTAAATATTTTACACCTACGGACACGCGTAGGTGGGGTAAATAGAGTTGTAGGTAGTAGCTTGGCCGTGTTGGGCGGGTGGGGTGTGTTGTCTTGGAACCTGGACTCTTGGGGCCCTGCTGGGGGGCATGGATCCACGCGTAACACTGCCATCGTGTGTGGCATTTGCACGCATAATAAAGTATTAAAGCTTTCGTGACTGCATAAAATTACTCATTGGTTTTTTTCGGTAAAGTCACGTATGTAGAAATACAATAAAATTATATTATTTTTTTGTTTTAATATAATTTTATTGTATTTCAACATACGTGATTTGTACGCATGTTGAACTTCTTTCGCACCGTACGTAGCCAACCGTGCTAATCGGACGTGAGGCAGAAGGACAAAAAAACCAAACGTGTGTTTACCCTCCTTGGCTTCAGTTCCAAAGTTTCACGGTGGCGTTGGTATGCAAATACTACAGTACTCCCGTGTTTGTTTGAATGTGATATGGCAGTCCAGTGAAAACGATTTAAATAACCCCTTCAACTGTTAATTGTGGCATCTCACTGTGACAGCTATTCTTTGTCAACCCCCATTTTAAGAAAACCACTGAAGATCCAGTTCGGAGTGTTTTGATATTAATATTCTTACTGTTGTTACGCGAAGGCATTTTCCAATAAAAATGTAAAGCATAGATCACCGAGGCGCTCAAGAGCGGGTGGGCTCTCACTTGCAGTTAACGTCACTACAGTATTTGTAATTTTAGTGAGTGATGGGTAAACTAATGACTACATAAAAAACACATTGTAAAAATGCAGTTTTGTGCTTTATTCAGTCAAGCCTTACTTAAAGGGCTTGTGCTGCACAGATGTGCTGAGAGAAAAGCACTCTTAACTGAGTCTCAAACAGTGCAGTTGCTAAATGAAACACCCACTAAGCATTTTTTGAAATACCGTTGATCACTTCTATCGTACAAGTTGCATGGTATCAACGACAGCCACAAATAATAGAGGGCACATACATGCCAGTAGATACGTACACCTATGTACGTAACATTGAGCCAGTTGAAAGCGCTTGAGGTAGATGCCCACGTGCATGGTGATTTATACATAAGAGTCAATGGCGTTCATGAAGTGATCACAAGGGGACCTGATGAGTTGATAGTGCGAGGTGATTATGAAGTGTCAGCTCGCAGCCACGGGTTTTCTGTCCAATGGACAAACCAGTAAGAAATCTACCAATACAGCTGATTAGTAGTCGCCAAATTGAACAGTTCAAATGTTTTGTTGAACACGTAGGCTTTCACGACCAATATCATCCATAATATAGGCGAAACGTCGTACTCAAATTGTAAATGTGGATTTTCTGTCCAACACACCGGAGTGCTGTACTAGTAACGAATTGGCATGTTCTGTTTAGGTGACAAACCTTACTAATTGGCTGTGTCGGCTGGTGGCGGATTTAACGACTAATTTATATTTTCGCGATATAACCCAAAACACCTCTATTACGAGTTCAAATGTTTGCTGTCCTGTCACTGTTTATCATTTCATTGTGGGTATTTGACAGTGCAATCAATAGCAGAAGCTGTAAAGTCATGCCAACACAATTCTAACCCCCATGACTGCACTATTCTTGCAATCATGCCGATCAGACACCCGCAGAGTGAACGGGAAGCCATGTACAATCTCATCACCAGTGACAGCCCAAAGCGATACCCTGCACCCCCACTTACACAGAGGGACTCACTGCTCTTTGCGTCGGTCACCATACTTGTTAATGTCCCCTGCTGCGAATGTTGTATATATTGTGGGTGTATTCTGAATGGTGACTTATGGGTACCAGAGAGTGATTGCATTTTACTTCTGCAATATGATCGCAGCCACTTTTGGTTTGAGTTTTGGCCATCTACACCAGTGGCAATTTGCGTCTGAAGTTTAATTTTGGGCCTCTTCTAGGCCAGTGTAACTTACAATAAAATACAGTAAAACCTTGGATCGCGAGTAACTTGGTCTGCGAGTGTTTTGCAAGACGAGCAATTTTTTTTAAAATAAGTATTAATTTGATAAACGAGCGAGGGTCTTGCAATACGAGTAGTACGTATACGCTTTGTCTGCCGAGCGTCACGTGACTGCAACTGATATACGAGTGCTTTGGATTACAAACACGTTTCCGGAACGAATTATACTCGTAATCCAAGGTTTTACTGTAAGTACCTTGT